GTCACAATGGCATCGATACAGAATGGCGTTTCATTACCTGTGAACATGTAGCAATGGAAAGGAACAGATGTTACGAACATGTGACCAAAAGCAAGCTAAACAATGCTGAACAGTCTAGTCACTGTTGCCAGGAATCACGAGAACTGGAATGCGAGACACAAGTGACGTTATACTTCGAGATAGAAAGGGAACATGTCTGCTGATTGACATTTCTATACCATCTGATAATGTCCTGAAGAAAACATCTGAACAAAATACTGAAACAGAACTATTGATTCAAGAACAGCGCGTATGGAATGTGAAAGTGACGCGGCTAGAAGCTTATCGAGACCGTATCAGAATCATTTGAATGACATTATTGATAAAAAAAATTCCAGCATAGAATTTCATACGGCATCCATTTTGTGAACGACGGCCATCTTGAGGAAGATACTTCATTTAAAATGAAACTGTTGTGTAGGATCCGTCTGTACAAGGGTTCATTCGTGCTCATGAACAGGATACCCTGCAATAAGTTATAAAAACAATAATAATAATAATAATGATTCAATTCTTTATTATTTATGTGCCGAGTCAGCAGCTACAAGGCCAATTACAGACACAGCACAGTGTAGGTACTGTTAATTACATTACAGACACACAGAAGCGTGAAGACAGCAACCACGGGGCCGGTTTAGCAAATGCCACAGTGGAAAAACTGCTATTTGTTCCTTACACAACAAAGAAAAGCATAAGGCCAGTAATAAGAAGAAAAATGATACCAGTAAACAATGAGGTCGTTCTGAGAAATCTAATAAAAGTGTTTAATAATAACAGCCATTCAATTAATTATTTACTTCTTTTTATATAGGACAAATACATACATATATATATCCACATGAAAATACTACTATTTATACAGCACAGTATGGTTGAGGCCGGAAGGTAGCGGGTTCGATTCCCGATGAGGTCATTAGATTTTTCGCTGGACCTAACACTTCCAGCCTCACTATGGCCCTGGGGTCGACTCAGCCTCTAACACAAATGAGTACCAGGAATCTTCTTGCGGGTTAATTGCGGCGGGGCGGTCTGTGAGTCGATTGTCTAGAAAATGAGGGAGCCTCTGCGTCTCACAACCCTATGTACCTCAACGGCCTGTTACAGGGATAACTCTACCTTTTTTTACATTATAAAGCATAAAGACATGTTATGAATTAGGATGTGAGGTAATCTGGGAAAACCAATAAACGTGATTACAAAACATGACTGAGAAACGCTACCGTGATTTTAAATACGTACATTAAATTCCTTACCCACCGCTTTGTCAGCGCAGGCGCACTGAGCAGAAGATGAATGTATAGGAAAAGGATGAAGTTTCCTTTGTGTTTAATTAATCACCACGCCAACGTATTGGGGAGTGGAGGTATAGCTGCATCATTGTTGACCTCAGCACTAGATGGATGTGACTTTTCAGCTACACTCTCCGGCCGCTCTACCCACGAGGATAGAGCCACCGGTACCCAATGGATAGGATGCTGGGTTGGCCCCATATCCAGCCTGGACGCTGTGGAGAAGAGAAAAATCTCTTGCCCCTGCCGGAAATGGATCCCACGCTGTTCACACCGTCACTATACTGACTGAGCTATCCTGGCTGTTACCGAGCAGAAAGACGTAGGTTAACATAGCGTTTAGGGGCCCGGTGACGAACATTTTGCAGCAAGGAAGGTCAGGATTTTAATGTAAACGAAGCGAAGTGTATAAAAATTACTCTTTTTTTATTCTTGGCTGAAAAGGCCCATACAGTAGCTCACATTATATACTGTCAATCCTAATCCGCTGATTAGTGAAGGACGAGGAAGGAAGCGGGCCTAGCTTAATTTGAGGTACTATTCTGAAATTCGCTTAGAATGACTGAGGTATACCACGAAAGATCGTAGTTAATATAGCCGAATTCTGTACTGAGATTTGAACTCAGGACCTTTCAAATATGAAGCAGGTTTGCTGCACACACGACCGCTGCGTTCGGTTGTTATCAATAGAATCTTTGTGTGTAAGGGTAATTCAAAATTTGAGGTTATCTACATGTCCGGAAGTTGGCCAATCCTTCTTGCATGCTGACGATATCGGCTGTTGGAGAGAAGAGGCAAGCTAACGCTGCCCTGTACCGCGTTGCCTTTTGGCGTTCTCTATTTCTCATAAGGCACAGCATTGTAGCTGCTCTGTGTCTGTTTATTGTGAGGCACACACTGGCCTCTTTCATTACAGACATCTTGGAACATTTTTTCATACCACCGACTGTCTTTTCTTTTATCGCTACGCGCACATGACATCTGTCTTCAATTCAAGATGGCTGCTGCTTGAAATCAAACATATGTAACAAAGATGAATATGGAAACGTCAAAAAAAAAGAAATGAAAGAAACTTTTGAGGTAAGTTGCTAAGCAGCCAGGTTTTAGACGTGTACACGATTTTGATCGTTTTCATAAGAATTTCTGTAGTCATTAAGGAAATGAGAAATGAAGAAGTGTTAATTAGAGTCAGTGAGCAGAGGAATATCCTACATGAAATAAGAAAACGGAAGGCTAATTGGATTGGTCATGTTTTACGCAGAAACTGCCTTCTAAAAGAAGCTATCGAAGGAAAGATAGATGGGCGGATAGAAGTGACAAGAAGACGAGGAAGAAGACGTAAGAAGATGCTGGATGACCTTGGGGACAGAAGAGGATACTGTCATTTGAAGGAGAAAGCTCTAGATCGCATTAAGTGGAGGAATTGTTTTGAAAGAGACTGTGGACCTGTCGTCTTGACAGATTACTGATGATGATGATGATTAAGGACGATGATGCAGTAAGGGCTTTCAAGCATAGTATACTGCCTGTTATCTTGAGGACATGCAGGGTGCAGGGAGCAGTACCAACATTTTGTCTCCTGAGTACTGGAGTAGCCTGTCTTGGCTTTTGGGAGAAAGTCAGATATTTTTTTTTCTGATTCTCCGTATTGCGTTGCACTATCTCCGCACACTTCCACATGTTTACCTTTTTTTTTAATGCTAGTGGGGTGGGACTAAGTCCCTTCTGGCCTATTGTACCAGCCCCAGATGATAGGCGAGGGTGATTGTGGAGCAATTGGTGGAATGAAGATTGGCAGGGGAAACCGAAGTACT